GGAGAGATAGAAAGCACAGTTTCACATCCAGCTAGCAAGGGATGATTGCAGGCAACTTTGAGAACAGATAGGCTCGCTGGAGTGATGAAGCACGTTTCCCGAAGGGATGAAGCATGTTTGCCAAAGGTGCTGCAACACAGCCAGCAGAAACCACACCAAACTTTGCACGAGCTGGACACAGTGCAATGATATATATTGTGGTATAAGTATGTTATTTCTTAAATGTAATTTTTGAGGGACTTACCCCACACTCAAGAATGATGTAGGACAAAAGTGAGCTGAGGAAAGAGGGGAAAAACAACATGCGGGCCTGCTGTTCTCCTTGCTTATGTCGAAGGAGTGGGGCACCATGGTTGGCAGCCCCAGATCGCTTCTCCTGCACTCCCCCGACCACTCACCACTTCTGATTTCCTCCACACCAGGGCAGCCAGGAGCAGCTTCCTCCAGCAGCACCCGGGGATGGGAAGAGCACGGCCACCTTCCCCCTCTGGGGAGATGTTCGTGGAAACCATCCACACATCCGCAGGGGGCAGGGAGGGAGGCTCGCTGTCTTTCCTGCTTCAGAAAGAAACTTGTATTACCGTTTTGTTCTGCTCCCTCTGAGGAAGCGAGAATGAGGGAGAGGCAGAAGGAAGATATTTGCCTATTAAAAATAAATGATTCAGACCTGATTTTTTGAGACTTGAAACATATGGCTGGAAAAATTCTTGGGAAAAAAAAAATCCTCCTGAGACTGAATTTCCCTTTGATCGGAATTTGAGCAAGGGTGTGCTCACTGGGGGCCTTTAAGAGTCCCTGTCAAAGCAGATGTGCTACTGCTCACTGGTGGCGAGGACACCTGGCTTTTCCTTTCATCTGTGATTTGGTTTAGGTCTCCAGGATCAGGGAGAGCCTCTGCCTTCCACCGGCATGCTAGGGATCACGAAGTACACTCACTGCAGAGGGTGAGAGGAGTGGGCTCCTGGGAGAGGAGAAGTGGGTCTGGCCACCTGGCACTTGTAAGGAATGGATTTACAGCCTGCGATGGACAAGGTCGTGTGTGGTTTCTAACTGATGTGCCATTTTTGCTTCAATCCCAAAGCATCAGGATCCTGCTCAGGCAAAAGGACGGCACGAGGGAAAAGCACCTCTGTGGGGAGGTGGCACCAGGACCCACCTGGGACCAGTGCAGGGGACGAGGACACTGATACGAGCTCCTGCATATCAGTGGTGCAAGAGGGGATATGGGGTGCCCCAGCAGCTGTAGCGAGTTAATGATTTTCCAAACAGCAAAGCGCAGGGGAAAGGAGGGCAGCGTAAAGCCCTCCGGCTGCATGAGCTGGTTAGGCGACGAATCTTTAAAAAGCAAAGATAGATGAGAGGTCGTATCCTGGGTCAAACTAGCCTGACACGCTCTCTGGGGAATGACAATTAATCTGTAATTGGTGCACACGCACTTAAAAAAAAAAAAAAAAAAAAAAGGAAAAAAGCCCCGGGGAGGAGGAGGATGGGAGGGCATCAGCCCTGAGTCACACTCCCTGTCCCCAGCTGTGTGACATCCAGCAGCACCGGATGACAAGCAGCCCTCACACGGCTGCTTTTTTTGGGAGGGCAGTTTTGGGGCCAAGCATCTCTGCCCCAAGAGCCTGGGGACAGAGGTGGCTTTGGGGATGGCAAGTCCTCATGTCCTGGGGCACAGGCACAGCCTCAGGGGACATGGACACACAGGAGCAGAGGGGCACGGGTGCTTTGCTCGTGTGAAGCCTTTTTCCACAAGAAGCCATCCTGGCAGCAGCCTCATCCCCTTGAGCAGCACTCAGCTTTCTCCTGCTACCCCAAAATCTCCGTCTTGCTGTTCCTCCCAGCAGCAGGGAAGGCAGCTGCTGGCTGTGAAGCCACCTCTGCCCCGGGTGGCTTTGTTCAGCAGGCGGTGGCAGTCGTGGGGCTGTCACCACCTGCTCCCTGCAGCAGAAGATGGAGATGTCGATACCCCAGCTCCTCCAGGGCCTGCCCTGCCCGTGCCTGAGCATCCCGCAGGTGCCGCTTCCCATTTCCTTGTGCTGCCGTCAGCAGAAACATTCGTGCTGCTCTTGCTGTTCCTTTCCCTCACTCAGCTCTGCCTTTCTTGCCGATTCCTGTTTGCTGCACAGAGCTCCCCCCTCCCCGAAATGGCAAACTACATTTTAGTGTAAACTCGATTGCTGCAAAATCCGTCACAAGGACTTTTGCACTCTCCCCCACTATTGCAGGGATTAACCAGGTACCCAGAGGTGCTGGGCTGTGCAGAAGGATCAACGCTTCGTTTTGCACTTGCTCTCTCTCCCGTGCGAATTTCGCGTGGCAGCAGCCAAACGCCGAACTCCCACCCGTGTCCTTGGGCACTTGGCTTTTCAGCAGGGGTGTCCAGCGAGCCAGAAGCCAAATTGGAAATCCTCCTTCACTGCGGCATCTGGTAAACATTATCAGCTAGAGGTCTCCGGGCTTTGATTCAGGTCAGCTGGCATCAAAGGGGAATCAGGAGTGTTTGCTTTCAATTCCAGCGGCGAACAAAATAATCTATTTTGAAGCTCCGGCCTTCACCTGCCCTTGATCGGAGGTCGTTTCTCACAGGAGGAAACACCAGAGGGAAGAAATGTTGTGCTGGGCGAAAGCCTCTGCTTTGTTCTCGTGTGTTATGGCTGGCACCAGCAGGCCTCCGAGAGAGGGAGGTAACCACCCTGCCACTTGTTCAAATATTTTGAATGATAGAGATGTTATTTTAATAAATCTCCAGGGACAAGAGTCGCCTGAGTTCAGCGTTTTCCCCTTTGAACATCGAGCGGCCGAGACCGATGGTTAGCGATCTCGGAGTGAGGGCAGGGGGAGAGCAGGACCAAGATTCGGCTTCTGTAAGAGGTTTCTTTTGGTTTTGCTTTTGGCTGTAAGAGCCACTGCTGCCAATGTTCCCTATCTGCTCCCTCCTCAAATCCAGGGTGGTGGCGTGCGAAGCTGGAAAAACATTCACTCCCAGTGCTGTGTCAGCTCAGCGTCCTTCTTAGCCCAAACATTTACCTTCCAGGAAACTTCTGTGCCTGAAAACGCTGATCATTTCCAGCACCTTTCCATATTATTCCCTTCTGCTCATTTCCCTACATTTGAAATTTGTGTCAGAGTCCCCATCCCTGGGGGTATTTAAGAGACATGTAGACATAGCACTAAGGGACATGGCTTAGAGTTGGCACTGACTTGGTCAGGGTGATGGTTGGGCTGGGTGATCCCAGAGGTCTTTTCCAGCCTCGCTGATGCTGTGATTCTGTGAGCATCGGCTTTGCTCTCTCCCAGGCAGGGCTGGACAGGCTCTCCTCATTCACTTCTATTTCTGATGGAAAGGAAGAAGAAGGGAGTTGGGGGACCCATCGCTGTTGGACTGTCAAATCTCCTTCTCCCTCAGAGAAAAGAAAAAACATCAGAAAAGCAGTCAGATGACAGCGTGACCCCTGCAGCTGTTGGTGGTTGCAGTGCTGCTGCTGTGAAGCCAAAAGTGGAGCAGCTTTGACAGGGAGGGAGGAGGAAGGGAGCCCACCTTCCCAGCAGGGCGGCTGGGTAAATGCTTTCGATCCAGAGCCAGGGCTGTGAAGCAGAGCATGACATTTTCTTGTAGCCTGGGTGAAGGCAGCAGGATGTAAACTGTGCCCCATCCTCCAGCTAATCTCATTCTGGGGGCTCCTTGCTCTCTGTGTTGCAGGGGGGACCCTGAATACCCCGCTGGGGAACAGGGCATGCAATGTGGTGCTGCCGCAGCATGAAGTGCAAGCCCCATTTCAACAGGCTGTGGAAAGCCGATGGTTACCACATTTTCAACTTGTACTATCAGTGGTGGTCATCAGTCCTTCGTGCAATTCATAAACTTTTTAACAATTAAAAGCAATACAGCAGGACCTCCGGACATACACCTGACCTCTGCACTGACAACAGGCGTGTTGCTTGCTGTGGGTTTATCAGCCACTCCCCTCAGCCTTTCTGCTCTTCTAGACAAAATGTTCCTCAGCTGATTTGGTCTGATGAGTAGGCTGTGATCTTTTGTGAGCATTTGCAAATGCTGACAACTGAAATCTGTCGTGCCAACTACTAGCAAAATGTTATTCCTGCTGTGGCCTCATCTATTTCTCTCTCCTCCGTGTGATTGCTTACTCAGTTTTGACAATGTCATGGGCTTCCTGGCAATACCAGCTAAAGCTCCCACCCCAGCCTGCCCATTCACACCATCTCAACACCCATAAAAGAAACTTCCCTTCCCTTCCCTTCCCTTCCCTTCCCTTCCCTTCCCTTCCCTTCCCTTCCCTTCCCTTCCCTTCCCTTCCCTTCCCTTCCCTTCCCTTCCCTTCCCTTCCCTTCCCTTCCCTTCCCTTCCCTTCCCTTCCCTTCCCTTCCCTTCCCTTCCCTTCCCTTCCCTTCCCTTCCCTTCCCTTCCCTTCCCTTCCCTTCCCTTCCCTTCCCTTCCCTTACCCCAGCAGTGGGGTCAGCACAACAGAGGTGGTGTCAAGCTGCCCTGGGACAGGAGAACCTCGTCCCTGGATGCAATCACCGCTTCACCAGATCACAGCCTGCTTGTTAATTCACTTCCATCATACAAAAAATTGTTCTGGCTGCGGTGAAAGGACTGGGAGTAAATAATGTATCTTGCTCCAAAGTCTTATTTCTATTAAAACGCAGCACATTTCAGGATGCAACCGCCTGATGAATAAGCCTTTCGCCATCGACCTAGCAAGCAAATGAAACAGTCAGACACGTGCTGGGGCTGAAGATTTACTGCTTTCCAATACCCTGCCGGCTGCTCTACCTGCATGCCCGCTCCATCACACATCACTCCCCTCCCTGCCTTTCCCATCGCTGCCTCTTACAGCCAGCCCTGCAGCACCTCCGGCCTCTTCCAACCCTGCCTCACACCCTACGCTTTTCCCACGGCATGTGTGGATCCATGCATCAGTCTGGCTCTTGGCTCCAAGGAACTGAAAAGATAAAAAAATGCAACAAAACAAGGATTGCTTTTTTTCCTTTTTTTTTTTTTTTCAAACCGTGATACATGGGTTGTTTGTGTTTGCTTTGTTGTTTGAACAGTTTTACTACCTTTGGGTAGGGAGCAGTGATTTACTGCCGGTGTCACCGCTGCGGTACGAGCCTTCGTGCGGGTTGTAGCTGGATCAGCTGGGAGCTGTTCGTGTCCATGTAGCTTCCTCTGCTAGGCACATGGGAATTGGGTGCTGCCAGTGACTGCACCCGTGCCAGAGGGCTGTCCTGCTTCACTTATCACAGATGTATGTAAGGCACCACCGAAACCACTCAGGCAAGCCCTTGTGTGCCTAGTGAAAGTGCAGCAGGGCTCTCCTTGCTGAATGAGGGCGCTCCGTGTAGTCTATTAATTTCCATCCCACCACAGCCCGTGAGTGAGGTGTGGGCAGTTACCGTTCATCACTGCTTGACTTGGCATTTGCCTACAGGAACCCTTGATGAAGCACTTTTCTTTCATGACTATGAATTTTTCCATTTTTCCTCCAACTTCCAGATTCATTTTCCCTTCCTAGCCTCACACCCTCAAGCTTTCTTAAAAAGCAGTTGCATTTGCTGCAGGCTTATGCTGATTTCCATCGTGTTGGTCTAGGTTCAGTCCTCAAGGCTTGCGTCATGGCTCAGATTTAGGGACTCAGAGCTTTAAATACAGCTGGGTGGATCTGGAGAACCAGGTTTCCTTGTTTTGATAAGGATCTGAGAAGCCACAGGAGATAACCCTTACTTGGAGAAACATGAAACAATAATCTCCACCGGGCACACCAACAGGGCAAGGGTTTGTTAACATTTGCTGTTCCACTTTCTACATGTGATGCATTCATTTTCCTGCTGGAAACTAATTCTCTTAATGCTTACTTTTGCCTTCTGGCTGCCCAACACCATCTCCTGGGTTCCCTTTTTTTCAGAATAACAGGTAACTCATGGCCCTACAAGTTTCATCCTGGGAATGAATGACTTTGCTTGCAGAAGTACATAGGATTTGGTGATTTGCTTGCACGGGAGAGAAGACCTCTGTGGTTGTGGAGGAAAGCAGTCATCTCATCTGGTGATAGGGATCACAGCTCATAAATAGACCTCAAAAAGGCCCAAACTTCTCCACAGCCCTGTTCCTGATGGGCAGGGGGGAGATTTGGGTGTTCGTTCACGGATGACTCACTGGTGTCACCTCCTGCTAGCCCTCCTGTGTGGCTACCACCTGGGGCAGACAGGTGCTGAGGCTTCAGTACATCACATTGGGATGGATGTCCCAGCTTTCCCAGCATTAAAACACAGCAGAGGAAATAGTGAGCTCAATCTAGAGGCCCCCTGTTGAACTCCTGTGCCTTCAGCCTGTTGGAACATGTTGTACCAGGAGCTGCAGAGAATAATTATTCTCTCCAAATATGGGAAGCCTTCTCTTTTATTATTATTATTTTTAAGTTACTTTCCAACACGGGCACACAGAGTCCAAGAGGGAGAAAGGGAAATTGCTCTCAGGATTCAGATGGCAGGGATCCGTGGCTTGCTCCAGCTGATGGGTGGGAGACACCATGTGTAAATAAACAGGCTGTTCCTCTCGGCTCTAACAGTAGGAAAAACGAGAGATTGATAAAAAAGGACATGAAGCTGGTTAGATCCTTCTGTTCTGCCCAGTTGAATGCCAGGAGAGGGTCTTCAAGAGGGGGTGAGTGATGCTCACCCCACACCCGAAAAGGCAGGATGATCCTTGCTACCCGGTCTCTCATCCTCCCTACAATTAATCACAGACACAACAGTGCTACCTGGCAGATGGCTTTCTTTTTTTTTTTTTTTTTTTTTTAATTAGAGAGAATGAACCATAAACAGCAGTCACAAAAACACTGCCAACACCCAGCTCTGTTAATAACCTATAACTTTTATAGCATAGCTAAGGTACTAAAACAGAGTCAAAAGGAAGACGGGCCTTAAAACGTAAAAGGGTGTCACCTCATAACTAGTATGAAGGCTCGAAATTGTCAGTATCTCAGCACTAGAATAGGGTTAAAGTCAAAATTTGGGTTACTGTAACACTAACGATTTGGAGAGGGACAAAGCCTACAGATGCAGCTGGCACTGGACTGCTGAAGCAATGTGTAGGCTGAAAAAAATGTATCTGCTGACAACTTTCTCATCTGGGCCATGCATGCAGGCCTTTGGCTGTAGATAAGCTCAGGTAAGAGCATGGGGTTGGAGTAGGTTTGGGAGAGGAGCTCCAGTAGGCACGGGGCTGCCATGGGTCTTCTAAAGTAAAGAGCAGGCAACAAAAATATTTCTGTCCTGAATTTTTGTTCCTTTAAATGATGGCTGAGGGTCTTGGCCCAGGGTTCATTCCATGTCTGGTGTTAGGGTTAAGGTATGAGTTAGACTTCTAAAAGACTGTGCATCTGACATCTTCATCATGACCATGGCTGGTTGTCCTAGCTACAGTCAAATCACAGTCGGGCTTTTGCTTTAGGAGAGGGAAACCCTAAAACTTCAGTTGATGCTGGGTTTCTCACATGCTGCCGAAGAAGTGATGTTCTTCCAAAAGGTTCTTCCATTCCTTTGACAGCTTCTTGGTTTGGGTCCTTGGTAAAGGGCTCATCGCCACAGCATTAGAGTTGGGATAAAGGTAGGGAAAGGGGCAAAGTTTAAAGCTCCATTTAGCTCAGAAAGGCTAAAAGGCTTTTGAAAGCAAGAGCAAAAAGACATCCTCTGATTGCTTTTTCATCTGGAACTTTGCCTCAGGGTGCCTGGCTATGGATGAGCCTTGCTCAGGCTTTAGGGCTAGAATGGGGCTAGGGATGGAGGAGGGATGAAGTCTAGAGCTCCAGCTGGCATGGGTCTGCAAACGGTTTGGAAAAAGACTGGATTAAACAGTGAGGAACTTACTCGCTTGGTAAATTTTTGTCTGTTATGGCTGAGTGTTCACATCTACAGGGCAGCCCACACCTCAGCTTGAGGTTGGAGTTGGGACACCTACAAGATCTACAGCTCCAGCTGGCATGGGATTGTCAATGCACTTCAGAAGGAAGGGGGAGGCTGCAAAGAGCTTTCTCTCCTGATGACTTCTTTATCCTGGCAATGGCTTGGTCTCCTCGGCAAATGCTCAGATTTGGGGTTAATTTTGGGACCAGGTGAAAGCCTAAAGCTCCACGTGGTATGGGGTGCCAAGGCACTCCCTCAGGAGGAGGGACTGGCCTCATTAGGATTTTGCCACTGGCAACTCTGTCATCTCTGCTGTGGCTTGTCTTCCTCGATGACATTGAAGGCTAGGCCAGCATTTAGGGTTAGGAGAGGGACAAATCCTGGAAGTCCAGTTGGGTCAGGGCTGAAGAGGGAGGCTGCAAAAATATTTCCCCCTGATAGCTTCTTGATCTGGGTTATAGCTCACAGCACTCCAGGGCAGTCATACGTGCAAGACTTTCAACCAAACAGGCCACAGTACATGTACTCGAGCAGGTCATGAGAAGCCTTCCACTTTTTTCTTTTATTGGGAGGTTTCAATAGCCCTGAAACCTAAACAGTATTTGCTGCGTGTTCAAGCAGGGAGTGGAAGGAAGTAAAAAAATTAATAGTGTGCTCTTACAGTCTGGCACTACTGCAAAGGTGGTGAGGAGGGGCAGGGCTTACTTCAGGGAGCTGTAATTTGAGTGCTGCAAGAGATCCAAAAAGCTCTTGAAGCTAAATAAATTTTCCCTGGCAGAAAATTTTGGAATAAGGAGAAATGAGGGAATAATACAGAGGGTGAAATTATTAGGAAAGGAATCAGTAATGGGAAACAAGAAGGCCAAGGGCTCATGTTTAAGGAAAGGGATAGTACTTAGCTATGTCTAAGGTGCCTTTCAACCCAAACCTTTCTATGGTGCTTTGATTAGAGTGAGTGTGAGACAGAGGAGACCCCTCAGAACCACTGCTGCTCCTCACCTGCATCTGCAGTAGGAAAGGAGCCAAAGTACAAGGCTCCCAAGCTAATAGCAAATGGGTCAAAAGTGTGAGTGACAAGATTAGGATGCTCATGTCTGGCACTTACCTGAGGCAGGCTGGAGGCAAAAATAGATTTGGTCTCTCCTATGGGTTTGAAGATATCTAAGCCATTGGGTAACAACTTGCCAGGTTTTCATGGCAGATAACATGGCAGATGAATTCTTTATCAGACGCTGCATACTCAAAACATTTAGAAGGCTGAGCACAAGCAGTGTTACAATTCACTCAGAAACATGTAGCATCCTTTATCTTCACCATACCGCTGCAGTATCTCACACACACACCTACATAAGGTCAGCAACAGCCTACATGATCCTAGGTAACAGGAAAAAAAATGTGATTAATAGGAAACCCTGTGAAAAAAATTACTCACCCTCATCTAGCTTTTCATGGATGGCAATCTTCAAGTCACCGCCACCTGTGCCTGCTGCTGACAACCTCCACAATGCGGATCACCGATGGTGCAAGCATCGCAGGTGGCCTTGCATGACCAGCCCAACTGTGCTTGGACAGCCGTGCTCATGGCACGATGAGGCCCAGGAACAGGTCTGCCTCCTCTAGCACCTGGTAAAGCCATCCTCATGGAGAAAGCCAAAGTGCTGCAGGTGATTCCCAACAGCCATAACCACCTTCAGATGTCAGAGGTAGCACTGTAGGGACTTGTACCTTAAATTAGTATTTCCTCGTTTGCCTCTTTGAGCGTGGTGCTTTGGGAAGGTGTTCACAGCTCAGCACTAAAAAAGGATGGGGATGGCAGGGGCAGGTGGGCACAGGGATTGTTTTGTAGGTTGTTCTTCGTTGGAAATACAGTTTATTACACAGTAAGATGTGCTAGTAATCCCACCTTGTACTTGCACCTGCGTGCACTTAAACGGTTTGTTGGATCGAGGCCACAAGGAAAGCATTCGCTGGGATGGGAGAGGAGAAGGAGGAAAAGCAGGTGATCAAAGCGAGGCATTTGGCACTTGCAGGGTTAGCACCGAGCATGTTTTGCAGCCACACAACCTCAGCTTTTCCCCAAAGCATGCAGAATGGGTGCATCCCACGCAGGGAGCGACCTGTCTTGGGCTGTACTGCAGTCATCGGGGCTGCCCCGCAGGTACCAAACCAAGAGGAGTTTCTTAGAAGCCCGGGTGCAAAGCCAACACGAGCCGCAGGTCTGTCGGTTATGCCCTTGCTCAAAAACACAACATCGGGATCCTATTCGGAATTAGCCCCACAGAATCAAGCAAACTTAATAGCTCATATCAGAGTTGGCCTCGCTTCAGGAAAATTTCTTTCGCCTTTGTAAACACAGCTGAGTCTCCACTTTTCTCCTTCCTATTGGCAACGTCCTCCACTTGCTAAATAAAGATATCTAAACAGTCTCTCTTTGTACAATAACTTTTATGCTTTCCCCATCGGTCTACTTCAGTCAGCTACCCCTACTCCGTGCAGCATACTGCAGAGCAGTGTGCAGAGCATGCCTTAAAAATGTTTTGGTTTTCAGTCAAGATACTTGCTGGGGAAAAAAAAATAATATCTGGATGTAAACCCAGGGTGAGAGAAAGTCCCTCCTTCATCACGGTCTCTAAGAGACAATGTCCTGCTATTGGTTCCTTCACAAAAATCTCATTTTCTGAACAAAACAGATGGTACAAATTTATTCTAGCATAAAGTCTCACACTCAGAATCTATCAAAAATCTTTTCATTCCATAAAACAGTTCATTCTTCCAGTTTATATCCTAAAAGCACAGTTGCTTGAAACATGTTAGTTACTTCTGCAACACAAACGTTCACTTCACAATGAAATTGCTTTTATTTTTGCCTTCCCTTGGAACCCCCTATACCTCATTTCCATTCGCTCTCTTTCCATTCCAGCCTGCAGCATCTGCCAGATATTGATCCTAAAAAGCAGCAGCAGCACTAGTGTTGATGGCTAGATGGGCTAGGCCAGACCCTCCTCTAGTAGTTTCTCCTCTGTCAATCCAACCCCAGTTTTTTTCTAAATGTCTTCATCAGATAAGTGGAAACCTCTGTGAAACAAATTATCATGCTGCTGGCGTAACCTAGTCCCTATTAAACCAAAATGGATGTGACGATGACAGGGAGCACACATCACTAGGTAAAGAGGGATGAAACCCGTACGCTTACCATGGTGCCATCTGAACAGCAGCTCTGTGACTGATCCAGGACATTTTAGGCACTCACGAGGCACTACATGCTTCAGGGAAACAGCAGCTCCTCTGAGACTGGGGAAAAAGGATTTTCTTGCCTCCCTGCGCCTCAGCTTACAAGTGCACTCCATTAATTCGGTTTTAAATGACTCTGAAGACAGCGCATGGTTCCTGCCTAATCTGATCGAACACATGCTTTTTTTTTTTTTTTTAACTCAAAAGTTGTTATTTCTGCTTGTGACCCAGCACATTTCCAGTGGGTGGCACAGGGGTGCTGACAGTGACCCAGCAAGGAGTCAGGGGGACCCCATGCAGCAAGCCTGCCTGGTGTCTAGCCAGCCTCAGGGTGGGGAGCAGAGATACCATGCTGGTCTCTTCTAGCTCCAGGTTTCCTTAAAGGAGGCATTTTTTTTCTCTCCTCTGGTCTAGACCAAGATTTCTGCACGTGACCTGGTGCCAGCCGGTACCCAGGGATGGCAGGACTTGAGGCCCTGCATGCAGAAACCTTGGTCCGCATGCTGGACACGTGCCACTGTCCCCATGCTCCAGCACAGAAGATGGCCAGTGTCAGGACAGAAAGAAGGTCTGCCTGATTTTTCCATCATGCTCAGCTTCAAAAGGACTCTGGAAAGATTTTCTTTTCCCCCATGGGAAGACAGAAAGAGCCTAGAAACGAGCACTGTTTATTGGCCCTATTTGCACTCTTCTTGCTAGAAATAATTTTGCATTATAAGTGCACTTAAAGCAGAATGTGCTTGAACAGAAGCAGCACCACCCATGGAATGGTTCAAAAGCAAAAGGTTTGGTTTAGCCCCCAAGTTACACTCACAGCTTAAACCTTTCTGTTAGGATCCAAGATGATGATGATGATGATTTTCCTTCTCCTTCTCCTCCTTCTTCCTTCTTCTTCTCTTCTTCTTTTTCCCTGCCCTCTTTTTTAATGCCAAAACCAAGAAATGCATAAAATGCATGAGCCTTAAGAATTAGACAACACAAAATTTTCAGACTTTCGTGTGTTACTGAAGCCAGATCGAGAAATTTGGAAAACTGCTATGAAGAGGGGTAAGAAGCAGGTTTTTATGACCAGCAAGTGATGGAAGGAGAGCAATGCTACCAGTTAGTTCGCTTCAGTCAGCTGCACAACTTCTGCTTCATAAAAGTTCATGCTCACGCTGAAAGCACAATTGCTAACATCCTCTGCTGACATGAAGGTTTCTTTGGATCAGGGGAGAGATGCTCAAGTGAAATTAAACTGGCAGCTCAATTCTGCTACTGTACAGCGCCTGTGTTACAAACAGACAGCATCTAAATCGGGAACTGTCAATCTGAAACCTTTAATTTACTTCAGAACTGAAAGCAAAAAATTTTATAAGAGGGGAAAAAAAAAAAAAAGGTGTAGAATGCCTCACATTACAGACACGTATCTGCAAAATTACAATAAGAATGCCTCAATCACACAGTTTTACACAATAGCAGACTAGCTCCAAAAATGAAACAGAAATGAAAGACACCTTTTTTGATCTTTTCTTTCTGCCTGCTTTAGTTGCATTAGACATGCAAACTACCTACAAAACACGTTTGCTTTTTCAAATGGACACAGAGAAGAGGATGAAGTAATCCTGCCTGTGGCAGATGCTGGGTGCCCACTTGACTCCTTTGTATCAAGGCAGGAAGGAAAAAGCCCTCAGATTTCCCAGAGCATTTCAGTGTCAAGACTAATGAAAGAAGAAACAGCCCCAGAAAGGGAATCGATACAAGCACATCAGCAATTTTTGCCTTAAACGGTTTGTTTCAAATGCTCTCTGTGTAATAAAAAAAAAAGCTGTTTTTAGAAACCCTTCCCAAGGGGGTGGTTAATACCTCAGCAAGAAGCTCTCTGCTCATGAGCCTACCCCATGGGTGTATGGAGCGGATCCATCCACAGCTTTCAGCAAATGTGCTCTCAAAGGGGGCATTCTCTCCTTCCTCTCCAAAAGCCTCTCCAGCAGCACTCAGTCATGGCATACAGGCCTGTTAAGAGACACCGAACTGATTACACATGTTCATACTTCAAAACTGTGCTCGCAGAATGACTTAATTCCCGTTATTGGCACTTGACACAACAGGCGGTTTCCCTCAACGAGACCGTGGTTCCTCTCAATGCTCCCAGACCACTCCAGGGGCCACGATCCTGAGATGCTTCAGGAACCCACTCACATGGGGGCAAGGTGGCTCTCACCTCCAGAAGGATCAGTGCTGGTTCCTGAACAATGCAGGGCGTGCGGCACCGCGCAGCATCCCCAAGGCTAGTCGGCTCCAGAAGCCATCGCTGCTGCTCTGATCGCCCATCGCTCGCATTAGCTGTCTTGCTGCTGGCTGTTGGCATGGTCCAACCCTAAAAGGCTTCCCTACTGTGCTGTGCATCTTAAATTATACAAACAGAGCTCTGCAACAGGAGAAGAGTGATCAAAATGATTTATTTCTGGGTGAGCAGAAAGCGTCCCCCTTGTCTCAAAACAGTAATTACCGCGGGCCACATTCCACGACTGTCCTTACTCATGTCAGAAATGCCTGGAATAGAGATCATTTAGGGAGCGAGGTATTTCTTAACAGGTACCAGGATGTAGGTTTTCAGCCCTGAAGCATCTAAGTTAAATACCACGTCTTTAAGTATTTCAATTTATCTTTAATCAAAATGCGTAACTGTAGTGCTTTCCTTTCTCTTTGCTGATAGCTGTTCCCTTAGATACACAGAAAAGCAATTAATTAGTGCAAATTTTAGAACAGAAATAGCTATGCAGATATCTGGGAAGATGCTAAAAATGTCAGGAGAGAAGCAAGATAAATGTCGATGTTATTAAAAATAAACGTCTACTTAATGCAACATTTACCTAAATGTTTGCCAGGAAAACAGCAAATACAGAGTTGAAATCCTGCTGTAGCACCATTACACACACAGGCTCAAAGGATAAACTCCACCCCTGCACTGAGAGGCAGCCTAAGATGAAAATCTCATTCAAAGCCGAGATGTTATCTGCGCTAGTCCCCTGCACAAAAGTGGATTTTATCCAACGTGCAGTGGCTCTGTAAACAATCTACTTCCTTTTACCAAGACTGTGCTGAGCTTTCTAATGGTTCCCTTCACATCTGCAACCGTGCCTTATCAAACGCTACGTGTTGGTGAAGCATCAGGATTTAAATCCCCTTTTCTATGTCAGGATCCCCCAGTCACTCCTCTCCAGGACCAAAGCCTCTGGCCCCACAAGACCTGCTGCCCCAATCGCTAAATACGAGCCCCTTCACTGGGCAAACCATCAATGAGCCCTTCCTGCATTCTCCTAGCTTATTGAATAATCCAGATGGCTCCTCAGCGAGCCGAGTTATTCGTTACCTCAGCAGTCTCCAGCCTGCGTGCACATCTGCAAGCATTATCGGTAATGGCTTTGTTTTCCAGCGAGCTATCGACGCAAGTGTTAAATAGTGAAACGCCAACAAATGACCCCTGGGGACCCATGCTAAACACACACCAGCTCGGAGATGATTCCCTCCATCCATCTCCGCGCGGAGGCCTGTCGGTGTCGAAACCACTTTCTGTTGGATGTTGTTCGTTTTGTTTCTTGATCAAGATGCAAAGGAGTCGTGCTCCAATTCTACTGAGCCTTTTATCAGGAAAGCTTGCAATCTCAGTAAAATGCACCATTTTTTGACAAAATCTGTTTTCCTGAAGCTCAGGTAGATAGACTGACATTAACCAAGTGGTCCTCCTTTAGCTCTTTATTCAGTCTTATTTCAGTCATTCCATTATTTTGTTTTGGATCAATGTCAAGACTTGTATCGACCGCCATCACTCCATTTTCATAAAATGTTAACAAAAAGCTTTTTTTCCACTCGGTAACTAAAATGCAGGGTTCAGAGCTCCAAAGAGCACTTCTCTCCAGCTCCTTAATACAAATTCCTTACATTTGATGATTGTAAAACGTTAGACAGCAGCTGTCCTGTGTAACCTTGCTGTCTCGATGGAAAAATACTTGACTTTCGTCTTCTGTGTTACAGCTCTGTCTCCTATTTTCTAGAGCATACAAAGCCCTGGACTTGAAGCATTGGCTTCAATATGAGTCTCAAGAGCAATCCCTAAGGGTTTGTTCAACATTTCCACCATAAAGGTGGGTTTTGGTGCTGCCCAAACTCATCCTCTCGGCTCCACAGGAATAACTGCTGGTTGAGAACAGCTGAAAGCTTTTCTGGCTGAGCTATAGAAATTTCTTTGACACTTGCATGACGGACTAGGAGGGAGCTTAGAGGGCTTCATGCCAAACAGAGTTAAACCTCTTCTAAATTAGACCAAAATAAAAGCTTTGTTTTACTTGATTTGGGTTACGAGCAAGACCTTAGATCCCTTCCTAATTTGAGCAGGCTGATTTATTCACCCCCAAAAAGCTTTGCTGGCAGCGATCCCTGTGACACCAGGGCAATGCTCAGCTTCACACACACCCTGAGAATTGTGGCAGAAAGCAGCAAATGTCCTCACATGCACTGGCAGCTCCTAACCCTGCAGGGGTTTCGCTGCCTGACAGGACCTTGACACTGCTCAGACTAATAAGCACATGCTCGACTGAGATTTGGAAAGCATTTGCAATTGCCATCTGCATTATTCACCTCCGCTATGGTAAGGAGAGCAGCAGGCCTGTGTTTCTGGAATATTAGGGGAGGAAAATCAAGATGCTCTTCACAGGTTGAGGGTCAGGGCACGCTGTAAAAACTTCCTTCCCTTCCCTTCCCTTCCCTTCCCTTCCCTTCCCTTCCCTTCCCTTCCCTTCCCTTCCCTTCCCTTCCCTTCCCTTCCCTTCCCTTCCCTTCCCTTCCCTTCCCTTCCCTTCCCTTCCCTTCCCTTCCCTTCCCTTCCCTTCCCTTCCCTTCCCTTCCCTGTTGCCCTACAGGAAGGAGCTGAGGGAAAGGCTCGGCTCTGCTGAAGGAGAAGCTCACATTGCCAAAGCTCTCGGAGAACAGGCACCCCCTCTTCCCTCGTAACATTTTTAAGTCAGCCACAGCCTTCAGTGGATCTGCTGGCAGGGCCAGAAAGCACGCCGCTGGTGTAGAAGAGGGAGCTGCACTTTAAGGCAGAGCAAATGCCCGCTTTTGTGTCAGCGGGCTGTCCTAGAAAGCTACACAAACACGCTCCCGAACAACAGCCCTTTTGTCTGGCCGTGACGCTGCCCTCGTGGTGTTCGGTGCGGCTCGGCAGAGAGATGAGGCGAGCCCGTGTCAGTACGGATGATCTCAGAGAAAAGCAGCTCCGGGGAAGTTTGCCTGCAGAGGAGGCTTTCAGCCGCGAGCCCCGCTGCCGGCTGCCGAGGAGGGGTGTTTGCTCAGCACATTCCCGTGGTTTTGGGACGAAGCCAGCATTCCCGGGACTCGAGATAATCAAGCGGATGAAGTCATGCTGTCCGGGTGCTGCAGGAGGGAAAATGGATGGTGCCAGTAGGGAAGGGGGGGAGGAACGCGTTCAGCGTTACCACACGGAAAAGGAGGGGGAAAAACCTTCCCCTTTTACCAATCCTACACGCAAACACCACAGCTGGGGCTGCTGACGGAAAAGTACTTGAAGGGATGAGCCATTTAACACAGGAGGACCCAGGCCGGAAGGCCAAACACAGGCCCTGCAATGGGGTAGCTGGGCCTACACGCTCTTCCCAAGGGATGGCAATCTTGGTGGCTACAGAGGACACCATTTCCTTTAAGACCACGTTGAAATAAGGGGACTCAACACAGTCAGAGCCCCTCCTGTTTTGGGAGGGGTCCAGAGCAGAGGAGCCCCTCTCAGCAGTGAGGCCCAGGCTGGCAAGCAGGCCGGGAGGAGATATCGATGACCACAAAGCAGCTTCGAAACAAAGCCCCCTTGGGCTTTGGAGTTCAACTCCAAGTGCTTAAGGGAGATAGATTTTCAGCCCTTTCTAGAAAATCCTACACGAGTTGCTTAAAAGCTGGGAGCTCTGCGCTGACCTGCCCCTGAACTGCTGCGCCTCCTTTTTACATTCGTCTCTGCCGGGCGCTCTCTCCGGGGAGGGATCTGACCTTCCAGCACAGCACATTTCTGGGGCTTACACTGCAATTATTATAATGGACAGCTTTCTGTTCAGGCTGGGGGAGACTTTGGTGAAAACCCTTTCCACTCGCATGTGTTTCCAATCATTATTTTTTTTTTTTTTAACCTCCTTCTTACACACACATCTCTTTCCAATTCGAAAATACATCATTTCCCTGCAGATAGCACAGCTGGAGGGGTACAGCTCATTACTTTCTCAGAAGTTTATTTTCTTCCAAATTTCTTATTTTTTTATTTTAACTCTTGCTTTGTTATTCCTTCCATCTGTGCATGGATCTGGGACACGGTCTCTACTGCTGGAAGCTGAATAGAGGAGTAGCATATTCCAGCTATCCGCTGCGCATTATATACAGCCACCTCTGGATAAAGGGGAAAACTGCAGAGGGAGCGTGTTTTGGAAATAAAACCCACACCACGTACCATTCCAGAAATTCTCTCTGTAGAAAACAAGCAGCTCCAGCGGTGCGTAATTCACTCGTGTTTCCATTGCTTCCATGCATCAGAGGAAACGGCAGCGTGAAATTTCATCAGCAAAAAGGATTTAGGCTTCGGCATCCCGGCCCCAGATAAAGCATACCTCGCATCTCTGTCAAACAGCCTGCTGCCTCTCACTGCAGTGATTTTGTTCCCTGCCGAGTCTCGTGGCAAAATCCCGGCACTACTGAAGTTAATGGGAGTCTCACCCTTGGATGCTGCAGGGCTGGGATTTCACTCAGACCCTGCAGCCATCAAATTAGTCCTGCTCACCTCTGAGCAGAAAGGATGCGCCCGCTACGCCCAGCATGGAGGCTCGGGGCTGAGCCAACAGGCGTTTCAGTCAGCGGAAAGGCTCCCACCAACTTTAACGAGGGCTGAGATGGATGGTTAGCGGATGGGAACGTTTTATTTGACAGAGCAAAAAATACACTAGGAAAAACAAAATCTGCCTTAATGTAGTTGAGAATATGGCACTGCCTCAGTTACATACTCTACATTGAGCAACCCCTCAGCATTAATGTCTCAGCTGCCTCAAAAACCTTGGTTTTCCCTTATCCTTACCCCATGCTCTGCTCTTCTTCAAATACTATTCTACAGAGCACCTCCTTCAAAGGGCTTACTTGTATCGCTTACTACAGCCAATTTGTTTTCAATCCCAATCCTAAAACAGGGAGGGCAATTTCTTTCATTCTGGATGATGCAAGACACAAGAAAAGGGGTTGTGCCAACCACCCAGCTGAACTAGGTCTGACCCAGCTCCCTGAACCCGTGGGACAACTCTGAACAGAGCTGGATGACACCAAAGCCCATGGGAACCTCAGGCAAATCTTCATTGTGCATTTCCTCCGACTACCCAAATGAAATAGGGCTGTTCTGTTTGTCACCTCTTATTTTTACCACTCTCTTTAAGCCCTATCTCTGTATTGTGGGGTGTAAGGTGGGTTTGATCTGCCCCAAGCACAGGGCTGAAATGGCAGTAACCATTATCCAAAGCAACAGCCAAGGGTTTTTAATTCCATGCCTTTGGAGGGAAAAGCAATTCAGTCTTGACTTTCCTACCTTTGAGCCCCCACATTCCCATTATTATTTTGGGATTCTGAGTGCAATCTCTGAGCAATGTATTCAAATAGAAATGAATAATCACCAGCTTAACAGAAGTCATTAATCCCCTGTAAGCACACTTCTGCGCAGATCTATTAATTCTCATTTCCAAGTTTTCAGAATTAAAGCATTTGATATAGTACATGCTACCTATTCTCTTTAATTAAAAAACCTCCCACTGTAGAAGTGGGTAAAATATTTCATCAGTCAACAGCACACACAGTTGTCATGGAGAAAATTTCTGGGTTTGTCTGACACACAATAAAACACTGAGCATCAGCCGAAGTTTCTCAATTTGCTCTAAATCCAGTTTGTGCCAGAATCAGCAAGGGAATTAATTCCCTTGCATCTTTACAGTATGCACCTAAAGAGGGAACTGCATGGTTCAGATTCATCTTGAACAGCCTCTGCATCCTTCTTCACCTTCTAAAGCGGGGCTCAGATCAGCAGCAAAACCACATGATTAATAGCTCTGCTAATTAACTGAATGACAGCAAATCAGCAAGCTATATGAAGCAATTCTGCATCGGTGCAATTTCAGGTCCATTCTGTATTGCAATTCATCACTTTGAAGGCCGCTCTCGCAATGGAGGAACACACCAGCTATGCAGTGGTGAAAAACAGAGACCAACAGTATCCATACGTCGTGCTGTAAAACATGTGGATGAAATGCAAGCTCTAACAGCAGGTACCAGAAGATACATAGTGCCACTTAGCTTTATAATTCCATTTTTAATTTTCTCTTTTTTTTTTTGTTTTTTGTTTTTTTTTTTTGTTTTTTTTTTGTTTGTTTGTTTGTTTGTTTTTAGGTTATGTGTGTTGGCTTCTCTGTAAGAAGCTTACACTGTACAGAAGCAATCTTGGATATTTTTATTCATTATCGTAACTAATGGAAACACACCACTCTTTCAGGAAGGTGAATGTTCATCTACCTGATGCAAGCAAAAGTCTTCGGAGGTTTTGTAGTGGTATCTCACCCACAGGCCCCCAAAGTCATGTTTTTTTTTGCACAGACACTAGAGAAGGCCATGATATCGGATACATCAGGGGTGGTGTGGACATTTGAGGTTAACCAACACAAATGCCCGTTCCAAACGAGATGGTGACCCTGCACACAAAGAGGAAGCATCAAGCTCGTGCACAGGCAAACAGAGCTGCAGAGCACAGGGCGAGATGACACGTCCAGAAGAGCCTGGGCATGTAAGAGCAGTGCTCCAGTAACTCGTGTTTTGGGGCCCAGAACTGACAACCGACGATTGCTTTGAGACTTCTGAGCTTTTAGGTCACTTTGAACAAGCTTCTCTTAAGTGTGTGCAACTCCAGCCAGTCCCCAGGGACCCAGAGGCCTGACACCAGCGCCTTGCTGGAATTGGATTACAAGGAAAACTTAGGTCATCAAGAAACATCATCTAATAACAAAGCCATCTCTGGCAGTCCCAGTAGACCTCAGTGTAGGAGGCTGTGAGTCACTGAAGACGTGGGAAAGTAGCAGCAAAAGGAAGGAAAAAGAAGACTGGTTTGCAACAGATAAACAGGTGTAAACCAGCTAGATCCTTCTGCAAGAGGTCACCAGAACCTGATCTCTGCACAAAAAACTCACTGTTCTTCTCTTTAGGTAGCCAAGCTCTGATACTAAAAATCCTATAATGAATTCTGGACTGAATACTGCAGCATAAAGGTGTGAATCCAGTCAGACCCAACCAGCAGAGAAGAAAAGAGCATTGCTAAGCAGCAAGAACTGTGAAGGGGAAACAAAGAGAAACCCAGAGGGACAACCCTGAAACTGCCAGACTTCGTCTAAGCTTTATGCTCTATCACTAGCTCATAACAAAGACAAAAATCAAAACCCAGGAGATAAACAAATTGAAACCCATCGCTCATAATCGGCTTTTGTAGCTGATTCACATATCCATGAAGTTTTCACTACAGTAACGTAACAAATGATTACCTCGAACACGAGGCCTGAAGCTGGGACTGTCTGCTGTATAATTCCAGTAGAATTGATGGAAATAGGTTTCTTTTTTTTTTTTTTTTTAATAGGTGAACAAGATGTGCAAATTCCCTATGGGATGTGAATGTAAGGTTCAAGAGTGCAGGCATGATAACA